ATGGTTTTTATGCTCAAAAACTTTGACTATGGTTGGTTGAGTCAAACAAATTGTACCATATGTTATAGTGACAACGCAATGACACATATCTTACAAGCAGGAAACGGTTTTGGACATCTAAGCTTAGTTAGATGATTAACCATTATAAGTATTCCTTTAAGAAGGTTGTCAACATATTTGTTGTTGGGAAGAAAAAAATTGAGCAGATTATTTGAAGCTTTCAAAGTTTTTATTTGAAGTTTTTGAAGCTAAAGTAGAAGTGCTGGCCAAAATGTTCTCTATGTCCAAAACAAGAACATATTTTCTATGATCGTCAAGTTAATTAAAAACTATAAAAACAGTAACGATATCAAATTCGCTTTATATAATAGAAATATTTTGATTGAGAGAATGCTTTTTTTTTCATTTATTTATCGCTTTTAATAAATACATAATTCTATTACATACTAAATCAATTTTGATGAATATTCTAACAATAATAATAATAATAATAACAATAGCAATATTAATATTAATAATAATAACAATAAGGAAAACAAAAATTTATTTGTTTAATTAGGAATGAGTAAAAGGTATTGTCGGTTTTGTTTTACTGTTATTTTAGCGAAAAAAAAAAACAATTTACAACGGGGTCTTTCCAAAGATGGCATTGAAACTATGCCTTAATTATACGGGACGAAATAAGCAGGAAAAAGTATATTTGCACAGAACGTATAATATCATTTTTTTGGGCTTAAAAAATCATATAAAAGGCTAGCAAATATTTTGAACAACAAACGAAGATATAGTTTGTGGACATTCAAAAAATATTTGAATGACCAATTTTCGATTGTGCTATTGTACTGAATAGTCATTCGGGTATTCTTAAAAAGCAACCCCACTTCTATCGCGGTCACTCAGACGACTCACACTGTCTCTGGCTTGCATATTCTATGACCGACAAAAATTTTCTTCTTGTTTTGTTCCTTCTATCTTCCAGAACGCTATTCAACTCTTAAAGACCAAAAAATTTGGCTAATTACGT